TCCGTTTGCCATGCTGCTTTGCTGCAAAGGAACGCAAAAGTAGCTTTGACACACAAGAAAGAAAAGATTCAGAGCATACAACAAGTGAACATCGATTTCGCAATCCATTCACCTCCAGAGTGAATTTCTTTCGTGTGTTGTCTCCCTCTTGTGGCGAGAGAGGCAATAACACGACTCGAGGTCATAAAACTCGCGTCTTGTGACTTTACCGAAACCACCAAATAATATATACGTCACCAATCAAGCGACAAAACAAATCAACGAACTGAATGTTTTCTGAGATGATGCGAAAAGATGCAATCGTCTGCGATACAATTAAGAATTTAGTTGAACCTAAACGACAGGCAACCCATTCAATCAACAAGAAACATTTCACTTTGAGACAAGATCATTTTTATCGTCAAGATGTTAGAATGGGGTTACAAAATAATGTTTAAAAAAAGAGATAAGGTTTCGGTATGAAACGTTCATTCATATGGCAACTCGTTGGAAAAGTTTTGACAAGTACGTGCGCAATCACGAGACGTCAGCAGTTATTATTAATAAATGCAGTGTTAATAAATAACGAAATAAATGCTCCATTCAATGGTTAAAAATGAAACGAATTACTCACAGAACACGGGGACCTTTTTGTCTTCTTAAAGCCTTCAAACAAGTCCAAACAAGACACCTTCCAATCGCCTCACTTCTTTCTGCCGCTCACTTCCGCTTTCGGTGATGCGTCACTCCAAAAGTGCCGTGCTTCTACGTCACTGAGCGTCACGACGGAGATCCCACCTGCCCTTCCTCACTTGAACGTAATTTCAAATGAATCATATTAGTGATGGGAATTTTTTTCTTTTCGGTGATCCGGTTTATTTGGATCGGCTCAGTGAAAAGAGCCGGCTCCTTTTGCCTCTCAACGGCTCTTTTAACTTTAGCTTTTCTTTGAAATATTTATGACAAATTTAGCATACATTTTGATTAAGGACTTGGTGAACTAAACATTGCACTCCACTGACGGCAAATAGCAACAATTATCAAGCAAAGAAATGGCTTTTTACTTATTTGATTGAACATTAAAAAAAGCTCCAAACAATAAAAAAGCAACTAAATGAAACTTCAACCAACAACAATCAAACATGCTGCGTCTTAACAAAAATAGTGAGTATTAACTGCAACAGCAGCAGCGAACAAAACAAACATAAGCTACTCCTTGCTTTATTTTAACAAACAAAAGCTACTACTTGCTTTATTTTAAATTTGCAGTCAACAAAACTAAAGACTTCAACTTGGACGGGCTGATCCGGCTCCTTCTCTCAGTAATTATTTTTCCAGTCTTTGAGAACACCCTCTCTGACGGGACAGATGTTGCTACAATGCACAATCTACTCTCCATTTCTTTGATCAAACGGGGGTAGACGGAAGCTCGGTATTTCCACCAGCTCAGTGGATCAGCTGCCCTTGAAATCTGTGGTTCTTCAAGATATGCCCTAATTTAGTTTTGTGTTTTTGCACGCTTGGCTAATACTGTAAATTAGATTCAGATTACTTGCCAAACGCCTTTGTGGTTTCCCGGACAGTAGGGGGCGATATGAACTAAAGACATTCAATTCACCAAGAAGAAGAAGTACAAGCACAAGAACGGAACCACATCCGGTTCAATTCGTAAGTTTTTCCGGTGTCCACAAGCTATGTTCTCAGTGAGTAATTTTAATATTATAAACTGACTTCGCCATTTATCTGTGAGTGTATTGATGTTGACGTTTGGGGAGCGTTATTACGACACGTTGCTCCTCTAATTTTGTTGTTGTGACTCACTAAGTCACTGGAAGTTATCGTAAAAAACAACGTCAGCAAAGGGGGCAGTTAGCTAGCACGCCGCCGACAAGTAGACCTCAGCTGTCAATCAATCAAAAGGCAATCTAGAAGAGCGTTTGACTTGAATGCTATTTTGTATGTTTTCCAGACCAAAGCTGCTATCAACAGTGGAAGTGTGATGGCTTCACGTCAGGGGGCAGATTTGTTTCAAAACTATTCACACAAATGCATCCGTGACTTTGTTCACTTGTTTTTCGAAATATATTTGTGATTTTCAAAAACTAAATCATACATTTCAAAGAATGTGTTGATAATATCCACAGATGTACTCGTAATTTTCACACGTGTTTTCGGGTCCTCAAATCCATTCACGATTTTCAAGTGGGTTTTTTTCGATGTGGCGTGTTCATTTCTCATGATTTTAAGATCCCATCTTCGTCCGCTAGGCGGCAGTGTTGCTGTCTGCAACTCACGGGAACGACCTCGACCTCCGATTTCGTTTCAAATTTGGAAATTCATGAAAGGAAAACGAACTTCTAATAATTTGTTGATTTAACACAACTCTGGAAACAAACACGACCGTAATTTGTTTCTCTCGAGCTTGTTTTACTTTGACACGAAGATGTACTTTTTCTCCCGTTGGTCCGCTGCTGTGACGCCGTAGAAGATGAATGAGGTAGAAGCACAATGTGAAGGTTCTCCGTGTCAAAGCTAAACAAGCTCGAGGGAAACAAACTACAGCCGAATTGTGTTTCCCGACTTCGATGCAACAAAGTAGGCATATCTCAATCGTTTTTCTTTTGTGGACGGTTGAACGATAAGAGCATTTTCAAGAGTTGAGCAGTTGATTGAAAGGAGGTTGCTCATTGGACTTGAGGTGTGGGGAGAGAGCTGCGAATGGATCGCTCAAACAGATGCATTGCGAGTGCGGGCATGTTTGGAAATGGACGAGTTGAAAGTAAAAGTCTGCCACTTTGCAAATAATGACTCAAAAAGAAACCACTTTTTTTTATAGACTAAAGAGTGTAACTTACAACTTTTGTTTTTTTTTCTCACTTTTTTATAGACTGAAGAGTGTAACTTACAACTTTTGTTTTTTTTCTCCCTGACCAGATTGAAGAGGCGACTGGGCCAAAGTCACAGCCGCCAGACTCTGAGGACATGCGGAAGGGACGCCAACCTGCATTTGGACACGTGTGAGTCCTGAGCTG